TATTAGTACAATTTTATTTTGAAACATATACAGAACTTTGACTTTTTATTATATATATGTATGTATATATATATATATGTATATATATATATATGTATATAAAGGCAAATATATATATAATGCTGAAATATGTTGAAGCATTGTATAAATCGTATCAAACATAAGTTTCTTAATAGTTGCATGAAAAAAGAGGCCTCTGGTGGGCATCGAACCCGCAATATCTCGCTACCTCAGCGAACGTCATACCATTTAGGCCACAGAGGTCCGTTCAATATTATTTTAGTAAGACCACTAGTTTCTCTCCCTTCATGCAACTTGAAGGCTCTCGTATAGTGAATAAACTTTTATTTTTAAGCAACGTAATAGCTTATAGGTAGCAGCTGGTACCGTCAGGAAATTATATTCAAATCAAGTTTTTGCTGCTTAGCACTGGGAACACAAATAATGTATAAATCAGATGTTTGAGTCAGCGAACATCATAGCAATTAAATTTAATCGGCAAGAAATACTCAGCGCAGTTATTTATATTTAATACTATTGTGCAAATGCCCACGTAGTTTATTAATAGTCTTTTTCGACTTGTTATTTACAGTTATGTCGCTATTAGTATAAATGATTATTGCATTTATATGTCAGTTGTAAATATATATTGGTGCTACATGTGTAATCATCACCGCAACTGTCGTTCCTGAAAAGTAAACATCATCATATGTCAACATTAACCTATACATTGATTCATACATAAATAGTAACCCTATTTATAAAACAAACCGCCATCGCAGTAATATTGAATTGAGATATGACAATAATGCACGCTCCAAAGACTAACAGAACATGCTCAAACGTTTACCAATGTTAACAAGTAGGCCTACATAATACCGAAACATCCCTAATGATTTGTCAATTTAATTAAATCAATCCATCACTATCAATCAAACAATTAATCAATCAATCAATAAATCAACCAATCAATCAATCAATGAGTCAATCAATCAACCAGTTAACCAATATCATAGTTCAGTTTAAACATGAAACCATGGTCTGCTTTTAAACATTTAGGCGTACCACGTTCGTTTAATGTTACCGGTACGTCAAACTTATTAATACATGGGGCTCGAACGATTAAATCGTAACTTTCAAATACATTGTATATTTTTTACTAGCAGTGTTTGAGCCTTTAAGAATGATAATTTTAATTGTCTGTTAATGCGTTTTAACCACGTATATTTCAAATATAATTATAATGATAGTCCCATGCATTTATTAGGAAAGCCATGTTTTAATGCTAGGCATAAGTGTTTTGTAGTATTGTGAAATTTTTGTTATTGTGATTGTAAATCTACTTTTATTTCATCTTCTCAGAATCCAACATCATTAAGTTTCGTTAGTCTTGTGTATAAACAATATCCTTAGCTCTCGTTAATGTACAATAATACATTAATGCTGTATACACTTTTTATTGTACTGTACTATAACTGCATAATGGACAGATTTAAATATCATGCCATGTATTTCTTTATTAAAATACATTAAATTTACATTTGTTTGCGGCATCAAAAACAGACAGGTGATTACAGCACACGACAGATGGTCGCCAGAAATGTGTGTCTTATCCATGTAGATGATAGTGGTGGCGACAGCCGGGAAGGTGGGGATGGGCAGGACCCTGTAGGAGACCGGTGGGGAGAAACATTTAGTCGGGAGGGAGACTCAGAAGTCGATTAAATTAGCTATTCAAATCCCTTAATTGTCAAAGTTTCCGGCATTCTGGGCTGCCGTCGGAAAATTGGCATTAGTGTCGGGGGACATCGCTCCTCCCCCACCGGTCGAGCAGATCATGGCGCCACCACTGGTAGATGATCTTGGCCTATGCTATTTTATTTTGAGGTGATACTATAAATTTAATATTAGTATTTCATTGCGTCCATTGGTTGGAATTTTAAAAAACACTAACGGATAATATTGAGCTGTCTAATGGAAAAGACCTATTTGTGTGTGTGTGTGTGTGTGTATAGGCCTAGGCACACCCCTATTTCAATAAAATAAACAAAAAACTAATACACGGTTACACAGAATATACGGTAACATTTTAGCTCTTTTTCTCTGCAGCCTTATGTCAGAAATATAATAACTTTCAATATGATGTCTGATACTATAATTAAGTACGGTACCGTACTTCTTTGCATTTATACGTCAGAAATCTAAAATAAGCCTACGGTTCGCATTCTGTATGGTCTACAGAATGAAGCTATCTATTATAATTATCATAATTTGCTTCTCTACGTCAGAATTTGTGTATAAAATATACAAATCCTATGCTGTCTAATAATACGGTATTTATTGCGTCGATATGCCCTTTGCCCGCGTTTGCAACTCATCAGAAATTCAAAATAATATGGATAAAAGGTAATAATAATAGGCCCTATACGTACTTAAACCTCTACATTTCATTCATCTGAAACCCAAGATTATACGGATAGGCATATGAAACTGTCTAATGGAAAGAATATAATTTGGCCTACTGTGTCTACTGGTCTACGTCAGAAATTAATATAGGCCTATAAGATGTGTATAAGAGACAGCAGTAATATTGAATTGAGATACGACAATAATGCACCAATTTATTAAATCACAAATATATATATACTGAATGTGTTACTCCATATAAACCAATCTTGTCAATTTTGACCCTTAACCATGGGGATTTTGTTTCCTCTTTTTTTCGTGTAATTTAGGATTCTAATACATACCACAACATGCCCTATTAATTCTAAGTCGTTACTCTATTCATGCTACATTAATCCAACAGAAAGCTCAATATTTTAAATAAAAAAAGAAATATTTGGTCATTAACTTTGCATCATGAAATTATTGGGAAAATTTGTATTATTATTATTATTTTATTATATATCATTTATACAGCGCCTTTTCTTTTGTAGCACAAATCGCTTTTTTCTTTCCTTGGTCATTGGGTCCTCGTGTTTTAAGTGTTGATGGTAAACATCGCAGGAGTAAGCAACCCCACCAGGTACCATACTCCTGTGTGGAGAGAACCCATGCAGTGATGGTTTGTTTGAATTGTGAGGGAATAAGATGTACCATACAGGCCTGTATGGTCTACCTACGAGCCCGACAAGACAGGAGAAGCAATGCAGATAAAGTGCCTTGCTCAAGGACACAAGCAAATTTGCAGTACAGCGAGGGACTGAAACCCCGGCCTTTAGGTTTATTTAAAAATATATATATATAACTATTATTGTTTTAATTACATTTGTGCTGATTTCATATTATAAATGTATTGTATTTACATTGAAAATTGTTGCTATAAATTAGTTCTAATTCTACTTAGTTGATTCTTATGTCAATAAAAATAAAATTATACAGACTTTATGTCATCATTGTATGAAAACATGTATATAGGCTATATATATATATATATATATATATAATACATTTAATGCAATTACATACATTGTTATATGTATATGTATACGTATATTTTTTAGAAAACGTGATGATCCTATCGGGAGTTGAACCCAAGACCTTCTGGTTACCGTTCGAATACTCTAATTTGTGACTGAACCACGAGACAACCACATATTCTAGAGGGCGATCTGTTGCGTAATACGCAATGAATATTATAAAAGCACAAGAAACTATAAACTTTGGTTTGGAGGTACACCTCCACTGATAAATAAAAATGACATACTTCTTTGACCATATTCGTCAGAAATCCAAATCTTGATATACTTGTAATAATGCATTAATTATCAGTTATTTTTAAATTCAAAAAATAAATACGAGTATGATGAACACTTGTCTAAACATTTCATCTTTGATCTTTCAAATGAATTGCAATACTATCTCTTTAGTATTTGACCCGTGGTCAGTATATGACCTGTGACCTCTTATATAAACATTAAATCATTATTTTCCTATTATAATTCTCGCCTTGAGCCACAGAGTCGAATATATAACCATTAGAGTATCTTATCAGTGTAATGAGAATTGTTCAACTTCATCATG